ATTTGTTGTAAATGAGTAAAGGGAAAATGAATCAGGAGGGTAACCAACTGTTGCGTTTGTTCTCATTTGGTCCCTTTCCTTTTTTTGTACTCAATATACCATCGAACTTGTTGTTTGTGTTCACCATAACCCTTTGACCAGCTATCACAGGTCAAAAGCCGGTCAAAAGGGCTATGGTAAACACCAACAACAAGTTCGATGGTATATTGAATACAAAAAAAGGGGGGGACCAAATGAGTACAAACGCAAAAGTTAATTACCCTCAAGAGTCATTTTCCCACAGATTTATATAATGAATTGTTATCTTGGTCCAATTAGCTAATATTATTAATTATAAGAAACTACTACAATGAACATGCAATTAGCTAGATAATCAATTAAATATTCGAATTATGAAAGAATTGATCAAGTGATTTAATTTCAAGTGGTCATGAAGATCAATCGAAACATAGCATGGACACCTAATGCATGTACAAATTAAGTTTAAATTTTTATCACCTAACCCTAGGATTTTATCCATATATAGTGATAATTACCAATGTATTGGATGATTATGATTCCAGTTAACAAAGTTAGATTGGTCCTCTAGACTCTATTAAATCAACAATAGGCAATAAAAATTGAAACTTTAACACATAAGGTAGTAGATCAAACAAACATAATAAATAATCAAACTTTATAACTCCAACGAATAAATCAAACCAAAGTATTAATGGTCCATCTACATTTAAGTGGAAGCAAAGAGTATTACCCCATAATCAGTAAATAAAAATAGGAAAACATCAAAAACGAATTGCTAAACATGATCATAAAGCAAACCTATTTGTAGTTCTAATGCTCTAGCTTCCGATTCTTCGAATCATTACTCCAAAGTGCTTCTCCAACCTTAATATTGACCCAAATTGGTTTGTGGATGTTAAGAACACCTTCTAACTCCTTGGGAAAGGTTCTCAAGGTTACACCTTGGTTGTATCCCGAATTAAGGTTGAGAAATCATGTATTTATTGGATCAGGAAAACCTCGATTCCAAGACGTAAATTGTTTATTGTTGCATCGTGGTTGTCAAATTTTTTGGCAGATTTTTGAATTTCGTCTTTATTAGCTCCATTCTTGTCCCAATTTTTCCTTGTATCATCATCTATGAATTTTACCTGTAATTGTCCAATTCAAAGCATATTAAGTTTCATTTATCTTTAAATATAAAAATTAAGTCCAAATATATTAAGATAATGGCCTAAAATATACAATTAAATAAGATAGTATAAACAACTTTTTTGGTGTTCCTCCACTTCGAGTAAATTTGATCTTTTTTCAGTAGTCTCCACGTTTCATTTCGGATAAAAAGGCCCTTGTAACTTTCCGGTAAAAAGTTGCCCCATCTTGGTCGTTTCCGACTTTTGGGTCTTCTGAACCGTCAGCCCATGCATATGTCAACACCTTCTCTTCCTCAAGGGGCCAATTCATACTAGGTGCCTCTTTTTTTTTCTTGGGTTCTGATTGAGGTTGATCATTTTCAGGGATCCGAATAGAGGTTGATCATTTTAAGGGATTTGAATTGGTTTCAGGTATGATATGGGGTTGGGGTTAGGATTGAGATTAGGACTGTAATTGTAATTAGTGTTAAGATTGAAATTTGAATTGAGTTTCTTGAATGGTCAAATGGATTGAAATCATTTTGAGATTGGAATTAGGGTTGAGATTGGGATTTGGATTACAATTGGAGTTGGGATTGGCTAGAATATGGATTGTAGTATGGACTGATACCGAGATAATGGAAAGTGGGGGTAAAAAAAATATGGTGATCCATTTGAGAATATAGAAGATGAGTGATGAAGGGTTTGAAATGTTTGTATTTTGGGTATTTTTCTGGGAAATCTCCAAAAAAGTCCTTAAATTTTAGGTCAATTTATGAAAAAATCTCAAACTAAATTTTGTTTGCAGAAAAGCACAGAATACCGATTAAAACTTCACAGATTTAGTCGGTATTTTGTCATTTTTCGTTAGTTTGCTAAAAAATTTGGGACTTTTCCAAAAATTACTTGATAACCAAAATATTTGGACTTTTCTAAAAATTACCATGGAACTAATGAATATTATTATTAACAAATCATTTATAAACATAAAAAAAGATTTTTATTATAAAAATAGGAAACACATTTGTTGCTAATTTTTAGGAATAAATTGGTGGTCAAAGTACTCATCTATTGCTTGCTGACCACTCAGACTCTTTACATTCCTCCTATGTATTGTTGTGGATATGATGTTGAGATGTACTCAGTTAGTGTTCCTTTAATGTTGGTGTTCATCTTATGTTGTTTAACCTAACTACCACTCAACATCCATACTTCACATGTTAACAACCATCAGCTAGCACACATTTATAAAATGTGAAAAGTGATCCGTGAATGATAGTTTATATGGAAACAAGTGAAGGGTGATTATCTATTTAAATTGTCATTAAAAGTTTACTTTTCACTCTCTATAGATGTGTGTAATTTGATGGTTGTTACCGGCTAATGTTTGGAGGTTAGGTGGTAATTAGGTTAAAGAACATAATAAAATATGTCACACCCCCAAACCAAGGATGGCGGAAACGTCCGGGGGTGGAGGACTTCATGTATAGTATCACAACAACGAGTATAATAATGCTTAAAGTAAATACAACCATCATAAATATAATTGAGAAAGTTACATCATAGCAAGTTTACATGTTTCAAAATCAATTACATTATGATGACAAAATGAACTATTTGACGATTTATTGTCCCATCCTCAAAATGTTGTTGGTTTTCCTGTTTCACTGATTTCCCGAGAATACAAGTAGTTTTGAAAAAGTGTCAACAATTAAGTTGGTGAGTTCATAAGAGTTTTTTTTAGAATGAAACCGTTTTCCTTGTAAAAGCAACAAAGCAACAAAGTATGTTTCCAGAAAATCCAATATTTTCCTTATTATGTATGAAATGAATGCTTCTATGTTATGCGAAAATAAATCCTGGAAAACCCCATAGATTCCTTCTATAATTACTCAGCGTATATAAATTATATAAAAATTTAGTTAAATAAACTGTTGAATATAATGGGTCTGCCCCAGGTCCACAACCAAACGAGAAATAGGAGATAAGGCGGGCCCACCAATTCTAAGTTGATTGTGACTAGATTCTTATATAACTCTAGCATATACACTTAGCAATTATAGCTGAAGTCTAACACTTCTAAATGAAATATAGTTTTAATATCATGAAAACTATTTCATGTGAACCTGGTACTTTGTATTTGTACCCCTTTTTGTATGAAAACCTGGTACTTTGTATTTGTACCCCTTTTTGTATAAAACCGGTACTTTGTATTTGTACCCCTTTTCGTATGAAAACCTGGTACTTTGTATTTGTACCCCTTTTTGTATACAACCGGTACTTTGTATTTGTACCCCTTTTTCGTATGAAAACTTGGTACTTTGTATTTGTATCCCTTTTTGTATACAACCGGTACTTTGTATTTGTACCCCTTTTCGTATGAAAACCTTTTGTAATGTAAATGAACATAAACTATACATATTATAGTTTATCAAGATGTTTGAAATGTATAAGCAACCTAACCATACCTATTATAGTTTACTATGTTTGTTTGTGGTGTATAAGAACCTTTTTCTATGTAAGTCGAATGTATAGCAAAATATAACTAGGTTTATCTTGCTTTGTTTTGTACTAATGGCAATGATGGAGGATTCTTACACTTCAATGAGTATTTTCTGTTATATAATTATACCACAACAAGAAACATATGTAAAATATGAAGTCATCAAAGATTTAACACTTTGCTCAACATGTTACAAAGTGTGTTGAAAGTTATAAGCTGTTAACTAGATTTTAACTTTTCTACACTGTTTTAGAAAGATCATAGAAAAATCATACGAAGTCGAAAACTGAATCTGTAAATTCTGAGAGTTCCTAAAATGTGTCTAGTTTATTCATAATTTTTATCGTGATTTTTGGAAGCCTTTAACTTGTGTTAAAATGTTCATATTCACAGACTGGTCCAGATTTGATCTTGAAATGATAGGCTGTTTTGCAAAAATCACCATAAATTGTAGAAAAATCGTGTGGAGATGTACAAATAGTGTTTTTAAAGCTAAGAACTGGAACTACTTGCACCTAAAACAGTTTTGAAAACTAAAATGTTTAAGTTTCCCAAAACAGTCCGTGAATGGAGTTGAACTTTTCTGATGAAGGCTGTTAAATGAGTTTAGTTGTGTTCTTGGTGTTTTCCCCCCCCCCCCCCCACACCCCTAAACTTAAGAAAACATGAAAATGTAGGGGTATGAACTCACCTTGAGTGATTTCAGTAGATGATTGTTGAAGAATGGAAGTGTTCAACTCAAGAACACTTGAAGGATTGCTTTGAAGATTCAAGAATCTAACACAATAATGATGGAGTTTGTGTAAGCCATCAATGATTTGAGTGGAATGAAGTGTAATTATCACAAGGAGGATAAATTATACTTGCCAAGTGAAGGAGAGAAGCTGGAAATGCCTTGGAAATCTCGTTTGTGTGAGAGGAAGTTAGAGAGAAAAGAGGTGTTTGATCTTTAGTGAAATGAAAGTAAGTGAGTGAGGATGAGGAGAGATAAGAGTCTTCAGCCTTTGACCATGAGTGGGGCTGGTCAAATGGGGGGAGAAGTACTCTTGAATGACCAGGTATGGTAGGGAGTACAATGGCTGGTCATGGGAATGGGTATGAGGTGGTTGTTTGTGTCAAATATTATGGCAAGATTCACACTCCACCTCATGATTTCCCTTAATGGTTTTTATTCTTAAATAATTACTTCCATAAAAATATGTTTATTTTATGAATATTTAGGGTCTTGTATGTTAAAATATGATTTTTGGAGAAAATCCTGCGTTAAAATGATGAAAACGGGCTTAAAATGCCAAAAATACTGAAAACCGGGTAGGAAATGCTGAAATCCGAAGTTCAGAGCCGCAGGTGCTAAGGCTCGGTCATCAGCAGCCTTGGAACCGGAGTTGGCTCGGCTGCTGAGGAGGATCCGAAGTGAAGCTCAGTCGCGGATGCTGAAGGAAGGCGTTGCGGTCCGAAGGGAGTTCTGATGCGGGGCTTGGTTCCGGGTTCGGTGGCTCCGGCTTCGTGGCTGCGGTCTTGACGGCTGCGGCTCTGGGCTTCGCCTCGGTGGTTGCAGCTGGATTTTTGCGGCTACTCAGGGACCTCGGACTCGGCTTAAGTGGCCTCGGATCCAAGAGGACTTGGCCCCTATAAAGAGGCTTCGGCCCAAAGGAACTATTTTCCAAACTATCTCCCCTCTTTAAGTGGTTTCTCATCAAACCAAGTACCGGGATGCCCTCAAATGATCAAAATAAATCGAAAGGGGTTTTGAGAGAGATTTTGGGAGAGATTTTACAATCTTGGAGAGATTTGGGAGAGATTTCACATACTTGGAGAGATTTCTCATACAAAGAGAGATTTGGGAGAGATTTCACATACTTGGAGAGATTTCTCATACTTAGAGAGATTTGGGAGAGATTTCACATACTTGGAGAGATTTGGGAGAGATTTCTAGATAAAAAGAGATAGAGTGAAAACGATTGTGATAGGTTTTGTGTGTGACATTTGTGAGTGTTTGGCTCCGCAACGCAAGGTCCGTAAGCTCCGTTAAGCCATGTTTAAGGATCTTACACACTCCCAATGAGTACGCAACATCGTTTTATCGGTTTGGTTTGTTACTTACCATAGTTTTAGGTTAAGGAAATCTAGATGTATGAACTTTTCAATTTATGATTTCTCATTAGAATAACAAGTTGTATAGAATTACCTAATGTAAGCCCTAGTACACAAGGGTTAGTTGGGTTGACCGGTTTGACTTGTTGACTTTATTTGACCTTGACTTGACTAGAATTTGACGGTTGTCACAAAATATCTATACGTTTAAGAATCATTGTGTAATGATATTTTCCAATAACATGTGATCATATAGCATCATGTCTAATAGCAAGTAGACACTTATTGATTGTGTATTAATAAATATTATCAAATCTTGTATTGGTCACACCTAACAAGTTACTTCTTACTATGACACCTACAACAATACATAGGAAAAACATAGGGACTTTAAAGTGGTCAACAAACAACAGAGAAATACATAGTCGACCATATTTTTCCTAAAATTAGCAAAAAATGTATTTACTTTGTTTATAATAAAAAAATTGTATGTTTATAAATGATTTATTAATAATAATATCCATTAATTGCATAATAATTTTCAGAAAAGTCTCAATATTTTGGTTATCGGGTAATTTTCAAAAAAATCATAATATTTTGAGCAAACTAACGAAAAATGATAGAATAACGGCTAAATCTTTTAAACCGGGCAAAACGGGTTTTTTCGAAGTTTTAGTCGGTATTATGTGTTTTTCTGTAAATAAAAATTAGTTTGAGACTTTTTCATAAATTAGACTAAAATTATAGAACTTTTTTGGAAATTTCCATATTCTTTTTGTTTTTTCTTGGATGTTTTGGGTTGGATGGGGAGTTGGTGGAAGCCATTTTCACAAAATAAGAAGAATATTAGAATGAAATACGGAAAACATTGAAGGTTGTGGAATGATATAAAATTGGATAGATGTTGGTATTTATATTGGTCGAAAGAGGAATAAAATTTTGAATTTTTGTTTGAAAAAAAGTGGATAGTTCTTTTAAAGTGAGCAACTTTTTTTAATCATGGTTTGGATACACACTCTTCTCTCTCATCTTCTAGCCATTGCCGTTGTCGAGGAATGCCGAGCTCAATGTGTCGAACGCATGGCGAGGCCACTCCACCAACCTAAGCGCAAAATTAATTACCTAGTTTTAAAATGTCAATAAACATCTTCCTTTTGCTCTTGAAGACAGTGAATAACTTTTTTTGAACTTTCAAACCGCTTCATCATGTTTTCTATTTCTTTTGGGTTAAATTATAACTTAATTAGAGAATAAATGCCACTGTAAGGTTTTATCAGGTTCTTATGTCATTAAAATGCATGCTGAGAAATATCTAAAGAATTGCAGGTTCTTATGTCATTAAAATGCATGCTGAGAAATATCTAAAGAATTGCAACTTGATATGGTTATTGGTTATAATCACTCTACTTGTGATTTTTAATGACAAAACAATTGAATTTTAAGAAAATCTCAAGAGCTACTGAAATAAAACAGATTTAAAAAAATATATGTACTAATTAATAAACACCAATTAGATCGCGAAGTCAAATATTTTGTAAAGGTTCATCCAATACATATTTTCACTTATTTTGACACCATTAGTCTTAATTATTTCTTATTTTCCAATACAACTAATCTCACTATAGTTTTTTTTTTTCTATTTCTAGTATATATATGTAAGTATGTTTTTTTTTCTTTAAAGCCTTCTTAGTAAATAAAATTTATGCCAGTAAAAAAAATATAATCATCTTCAAGAATATAGAAATTAAAATCTATTTTAGAATCTGTTATATTTCTTTCATAAATCATACTTTGGATTGATTAAAGAGACTACAAGTTTACCAAGTTATTTTTTTATGCCAACCTCTATTAGGAAATGTATCGTTGTTTCCGTTTACATAAATTCCATCTGGTCTTACTAACCAATAACATCTTTGAACTTCAAAGATATTTCCACTGAAACAAACACCAAAAATGTCAAAATTATAAATACTAACAATTGCATACTTTGATCCCCACCAAAACTCACCCCTAGAAATCATGCCAACTTTGACACGAATCTTATAATCAAACTCTTCATTAAAAGCAAGTGTACGTTGTCCTTGATAGTCTTGGTCTTTACCAAAGACATGAACTTCAATATTATCTTCGATGCCATTAGTTATATACATCCTATACATGATAGCATTGGACGTTGAAGCAATACAAAATGGCACCATTGCCAGGATCACAAGTGCATGTAAGATCAAATTCATGTTTTATTTGTCTCAAGTACTAGTATCGTGTAATATATATATATTTCAGTATTCTTAATAAGATTTCAAAAATCCAGATCATTGTATTGGTATAATATGAACTTTGTAAATATAAAAATGAATCAATTTAATTGCCATAAATTTATAACAAATAAGGTGTCTCTAGTTAGATTTGTATTAAATGAATTTGATTTTTTTGGAAATACTTCTACTATAATAAATGAAGGTTTTTTTGCTACATGTCATCTTCTCATTCATTTGGACACATGACATTTTCTAGAATTTTTAAATTTTCTATTTTCCACTTGTCATTTTATTGTATTTTCATTTTATTAAATTAAAATTCCACATTTAATGTGTAAGGTAATATATATATATATATATATATATATATATATATATATATATATATATATATATATATATATATATATATATATATATATATATGTATATATATATATATAAAGTATTTATTAGAAAAAGTTTGTATATGTAATGTATTCAATACATTAAAGTCTTATTAATTTTAATAATTCAAATTTTTCTCATTTTTCTTATAAATTCAAACTTTTCAAATTGTTAAAATTTTATATATTTTTTTTAATTAAACTCATATAATACATGGGTCTCACACCTAGTAAATATATAAATAAAAGACCCCAAGAGTTCAAAGACTAACTAACAATTCCCCTCATGACAATTTCCTTTAGATTGAAGATGTAAAAATGTGATTATTTTTTTTCTTAAGGTTCAAATACATTAGGCTAATAACACGGGAAATCGCACCCCATTAATATTGCAGGTGAAGAATTGTCATCTTCGATTTCGTTGACTATTTGGATCATTTCTTTATTCATTTGGTTATTTGTTGAACAATGAATAAAATTTTTGACTAAATTTGCAACATATTTAAATGTTTTAACTTTAATGGTTTTAGTGTAAAAAGTTTAGTTCCGTATGGATTGGGTTTTCCGTGAACCCTAGTATTAAACAGGCTAAGATGTATCAAATTACATATCATTTTACATTTTATTTGAACCCGTGTTTTGTCGTGGGCCCTTACATGGATTTTTACGTATTAAACATGCAATTTGATTAAACTGAGGATATCATATCGCAACTTCCAAAAATCCTCATGGTTAATGATTTGGTTTAAACTTATTAACTACATCAAAATCAACATTTTACCCCAGCCAACAAAATCCAAAGTAAATCACCCCATAAAATTTAAATTCAATTGAAATCAAATAAAATTCACTAGAAATGTTAAACATAAAAATACAAATACAAAAGTAAATAAGAAAAAGTTACCCCCGATTTGTTGTCGGGTGTGGGTATACCACAATCGAGTAGTTCACCAACAACTAGACCTGACAATTTCAGACACGAAGACACGAATCTATGAGAGACACGACACGACACGAATACACGACACAGATACATCTTAAAAATTGAGATAAAACTTATTTCTCATCGTGTAATCGTATCGTGTCAAATTCATGGCTGATATGTTTTCATGACACGAATACACGAATTGTCAGATATACCAATAACTTTGCAGCCCACATAAAATTGTATTAGCCCAGTCCACCTTAAATCACATAAGTCTAAAGAACATGAACCCAATTTTGATTTAACCCATAAATATGACAAAGATCATATCAATTTGTGCCCAAAAAAGAAACCAAAATCTCTTTATCTCTTTTTCTCTTTTTTGGTTCTAGACGCAACAGAAAAAGAACCAAACTTTATTTTTTATTTTTTATTTTTTTTCGTTTATGGCTTTTCCGGTGGTTGTTGCTATAAGGACGTAGTCACGTAGGGAAGGTACTATTTTGTTAAAGTTGATCTATTTTTTATATCAGTTTTGAATTTTCTTTTATGTACACAACGACTATCCATTTTGAAAACGTAAGATCTAAAGCAGGTAAAGAAAGAGAAGAAAATATATTGTTATTGTAATATTGTTCTTTAAAAAAATATGGACCACACGGGTTATTTATAGGCTAACTAGAAGAGTTCCTTTTGAAAGTAACTAATTGAATTTTTGGAGGCTTCTATAAATAAATTTCTAACAAATTTTATAACTGACTCCTTACTTACTAAAATGGGCTTTCTTTATTTGGTCTTCTGTGTTGACAAACTGCTTCTGACTAATGTGTTTGACTTTTCTATGTTTGACCTTCTTACTTTAACAACAACGTGAAGCTTATCACAAAGAGTCTAAAATCGAGGGGTCCATAAATTCTCTATAAGAAGTATAAAGGGAAAAACGTTTTTTAGAAGTACAAATATGTTTTAAAAAATATAAAAATGTTTTCGGAAATATAAATATGTATCTTTAGAAATATAAATTCATGTTTTTTTTATATGTTTTTAGAAGTACAAATACATTTCTAATTAAAACAGATCAAATCATACTTTTAAGAAAAACTAATAGGCACTTTTTATATAAACTAGGAATCAAACATTAAAATCAGAAAGTTGAAATTCTAAGATTGACGATTTTATCAAATAAATATGTTAAAATTGGTGTTATCAAATTTGCCCCCAATTCATTCTCCTCTTTAATTTCCTAGAAAGCAGAATATGCAAGCATATAAATAGTTAAATAAATTTCACCATAATAACAACTAGGTGGGGAACCCCCGTGTTGCGGGGGTCGGATGCGACAGGTCTTTCAGCAAAATTGAAATATGAACAAAATAAATTTACATTATAAGAATGGCTTTTAAAAAAAATTATATTCCTATTTTTTACATATTCATTTTCACTATAGGATATAAAAAATGTTTGTTTTTTTTTTTATATATTTGGTTTTGCAAATATATATATAGAAGGTATTTGACAAAGCCTTTTCACATAAAAAATATATTTCTGAAAAGAAAAATGTAAATCATGATTCCAGACTAAACCTTTAGGACAAAGTAATCAAAAATTTCAATAACATGTCCAAAATACAAATAAACAAATCCGATATTTAAAAAAAATAATTTAATGAAATCTAACAAAAAGAAATCAAAATACAAACTTAAAATAAAATAAGATTGTCATTTACTTGAAAAACCAGTGACAGTAAACATTTCGTATTCCAAAATTAATTTCAAAAACAATTCCAAAATCCGAAGCAAAATCCAAAATTTCAAAAAATAAAATAAAATATAACCAAAAAACATAATGACAAAAGTAAAATATATTCCGATACAAAGGCATAAAAACCAACCATTTGAGACTTGGTCAGTAAATAGATAAAAATTATATCATTTCCAAATTTTCATATATGGCCGATATTTTTGTTCCATTCTATTTTGGATTTTTCTTATAAATAATTCAATAAAAGTGAAAATATGAATGCAGAAATATAGCATAGTAATAAAAGTTTATAAAGAAGTGTGAACTCTAACAAAGAAAATTGTTGTACCTTATCAGTTACAAAGAATAGGTAGGAATGATGTTGAAAAAATTTACTTCTTGTTGTTGGATAAATTGAGAAGCTATTTGAACAATCTAATACACCTTCGCTTAGACCCTATGATGGTGTAAAACTGCAAATCCATCAGTACCATTTTTGTACAGTAGTATACGATGTGGAAAGTAAATATATACAAAAAAAAAAAAAAAAAATCATAAAGAATGATCTATAGATTCAATGAAGGAAAACAACGGTTAATGTTATAAAAACCTTAAATTTTTAACGTGTAATTGGAAAAAACCTTGATATTTTTTTTTATTATTGTGACTACAACTTTCTCGTAGAATTATCACTCTAGCCCACTTAACAAGTTTCATGGTTAAGTTGGTTAACTTTTTTGCAAAATTCGTCCTAAAAAGATCAAATGTAGTCCCTGAGGTTTGAAAAAAATTACACCACATGGTTTTTTAACTTTATTTTTCGTTTTTTGTATACTTTATTTATTTTCGGTTTTTTTATAAGTATAAGTACACTTTTTATTTTCTTTATATATATATATATATATATATATATATATATATATATATATATATATATATATATATATACTTTATTGATTTTCATTTTTTAACTTTATTTTTCAATATATATATTTTTTTACCTTTTGTTTTCTATTTTTTAGTGTATATTAGAGTTTTTTTTTAGGTTTTTTCATATTTCTTTTCGTATTATATTTTATTTTTTTTCTCCTTTTTATGTTTTTTTATTTTTTTTCTATTTTTTTTATTTATGGTTTTTCTAATATTTTTTCTAAGGTTTTTTAATATTACAATTTTTGTATTATATTTTTTTCCTATTTTAGTTATTTATGGTTTTTCTAATGTTTTTTTTACTTTGATTCAAGTAAACGAACTTGAATTCAATATAAATTACTATAACAAGTTTTTTTTTTATAAAGATCGACTATTATTTTTTTTTTTTTGTTTTTTTAAGTCTACTATCAAATTGAAAAATATTATCTTGAATTTAATCTACTGATATCACATATAGAAATATGATTTAATTTGCAACTTATATAACACATTGAAACACTAATTCTTAGTAAACAAACTATTTTTTTAATTTTCATTTTTTCGTAACATAAATATAATAGCACTAAAGAAAAAAAAATAAGTTTGACCGAAATTACAAATATAAACATAACTACTTTATTTACTTGAAAAAAATAAAAAACAATTACAAAAACTATAAATTATCAAAATTGTAATATACTCTAATATATTAATACGTTTTATATTTTTTGAAAAATGTCAATAAAAAGATAAAAATACAAAAAAAAAATAAATAAATAAATAAATAAAATAAAAAAAAAACAAATAATTGGAAAAAAATAAAAAGATGAAAAAAATACAATATAATACGAAAACAAACATGAAAAAACCTTTAAAAAAAACTCTAATATACTCTATATATACACTAAAAAATAGAAAACAAAAGGTAAAAAGGTTTAAAAAATTGTTGAAAAATAAAGTTAAAAAATGAAAATAAGTAAAATATATATATAAAAAAAGAAAATAAAAAATGT